CCGCTCAATCACGGAAGCTGCAAACTTGTGTCTTCTTCTTCTTCAATTGGTCTGTTTAAGGATGATCAATCTTCCTCATTTCTCCACCAAAATCTATAATTCTTCATCCTATCCTGCTGTTCTGAGTGAGGAGCACACACTGGTGCTGTCAGCTTTGTGAGAGGTCGCCGGAGCAGTGAGATATAGTCGCCGGAAAATCTTCAAAACCTCCCTTACGCTTCAAGGTAAGCCCGTAGATATATCTAAAGATTAGAATGTTCATATAGGTTGTTTTTACATTCATAAATGGTCATTTGGTTGAGTTTTGTGTTTGACATGTTTGAAGAACCGAGAATCATAAACCTTGAATTTGATGTTAATATCATGAATTAATTATACTAAAATGATCTATGAACCTTGGAGAACATTTCTATATAGTTTAATTGAAGTTTGGTAACTAAAAATGATATTCCCGAAAATGGACCGAAGGTAGAAGACGATGAACAGTAACCGACGGACCGATCCAGTAAGATGGATCGATCACCGCAGTAGAAGACTTTCTACTGGGTGGATCGATCACCTACTGTGGATCGATCACCTGGGAGGAAAATCGTGAAGAGGATGGATCCTCCAAGCTGGATCGATCCCCCGACTTGAATGCTCCGAAAATGCTTCTGAAAATGTTATTTTTGAACCCAAAAATCCTATTTTTAATACCAATTAATTATGAACAATATAATTATGATTTTTGTATAATAAAAATGATGTTTTTGACACATAAAATCTTATATGATGCATGACGGTAAGTTCGGGTGTTAACACTCGAGACTAGGCCGCTAATTGTTATTAAATGTTATATTGAATGATTATTATGATTGTGACCAATTATGAATGATAAACCTACTGATTGGAATGATTATTAAATCATAATTAAAAATGAATATAATAATGATCACGAAAACGGTGTATATTATTAAGGATATCTAGAAGAACTCTAAGATATACCCACTTGTATATTGATGATAATTAGTAAGGATATTTAGAAAAACTCTAAGATATACCTCCTTGACCAATTCATAATTCGGGGTTAAAACGTACGTACGGGATCCAGACCGGATATCACCCACCCGACAAATCATTGTTCGGTTGGTACGTAATCCACATGACTCATAGGGTGGATTATCGATTCTTGTGTTCTGCATTAAACTATTTATATTTTAAGGGCCTAGTTAGAATTACTGCCTTCGACTAGGAATAGCTAAGAGCTGAATATAATATAATGTGGCCTTAGATTAAGAATAATTTAAGAGCGTTATTGGTATATTGAGTATCAAAATACTTGGAATAAAATATTGAGAATATTTGATTCATATATTATGTGCATGATATCAAATGGTTAATTATGAATTGAGATTCAATTTATGTGGATGTTCGACTTTTTAGATATGCTTACTCAGCTTCACCGCTGAGCGTGTAGTGTATTTTGTTTGCTACATGCAGGTAAACAAAAAGAATGAAGTGATGATTCCTGGAGGGAGAAGGGAGCGAGATGGTCGGGGTGGATATATGAACTGAATTGATGTTTTAAAAGACATAAAAATTATTATGTTTGTATTAAGTTTTATTCAGCTTCCGCAACATTAAATTACTCCGTTACTATTTTGAATTATTTATTATGAAATAAAGTTTTAAATGTTTGAAATATTTTGAATGTCTACGAATACCAAGTTTATACTTTAGTCCGAAAGGGGCTGCAGACCTAGACGGATTAGGGTATTACATATTGAGTTGCTTGAAAACGAGTATTCAGTTGGTCGTAAATGAGTACTCCCATGGATGTACGAAAAATACCCTAGAATTGGTTGTACAATATACTCCGTATATATTACATATTCAATGGTGTTTTTGTGTGCATACTTATTGAGGATATTTATAGAAGGTGAATGATAGTTTTGCAAAATGTTTGGGTCCAAACAAAAAATGAAAAAACTAGATTAAAAATAAATATATAAGACCTACTTATGTTTATTTATTTTTAGAGTAAATTTCATAATTGGTCCTTTATAACAGGGGGTTTCCATATTTAGTTCTCTATTATCAAATATTACTCCCGTAATCCTTTTTTTAAGGGTGTCTTTCCACAAATGGTCCTTTTTTTGATCTGCTGCCATGTTGGTGTTGATTTAAAGGCTAAAAGTATAAATTTACATCAACATTATGTCTAGTGATGTGTTCTAATATTGGTTAAGCGGATAACACAAAAATATAATGACTATGACTGTGGGCTAGGATTCCGACGAAAGATCACATTTGTAGACTATGGTTGTAATTGTTGGAGTTGTGCCCTGATGGCCAACTGTTCATCGTTATCCCATCACGTATAGGCAGATATAATATGTTTACACATCTCATGCTAATGTAAACAAATATTATATTCCTAGATTTATATTTAAAGATGTTTATCAGATAGTGTTATTCTGCTGATGAGACTAACATCTTGAAATAAATATTTATCTGAATGTCCATAGTCGAGTATTAACGAGAGTGGGATATCGTTAATGCATGTGAGACTAGTGTGTGTTGGATGTTTGACTTAGTCTCATAGTCAATGACAGTGTGTTCGCATCCGCACATGGGCAGATCGATATTATCTAGAGATAATAGGATGCCAGACTGACCCATCCTAAAGATGTTGCTTGAACTTTTAGTTCATGCTCTAAATATCTTTAGCGCGACTACGGGTGTAACTATCCTTCGACTTGAAGTATTACGTTTTCTGCATATGTGAACCCGCATACTTTGATGCATTGTCCTAAGCCATATGAAATAAGGATGGTATACAGGCTTTGTTTTGGGTATGCCACAACGCGTATTCAGAAACGTAGATTACGTACATAGGATTTGTCACTACTCTTTTTAAAAGAGATTAATGTCTTATGGGGCCCACT